TGGTGAGTTATGAGCAAGAGCCTTACCACTTTGGAAGACGAGCCACTTTTCCATGAAGTGGGACGGCACAGTCTTCTCCGATGAAACTTAGTATTTTCAAGTCAATGATTGGCTACGATCCAAAGTGTATCAAAAAATGCCAGAGACGAAGAAGCGAATCTCAAATATTTGACACAATTTAGCTTTTACTGCACCAGTAATCCAAAATCGGCCAATTTTCCCAACGTTTTTCTCTGAAGGCAGATTTGGCCACAAATTCGTCCGCTTGTCCCGTGTCTCAGGCGCTATGTTGACGACGAACCATTTCTTTCATGACTTGCGCTTGGGACAGCACATTTTTTTGTTGAAAGGGTCTGAAGTAGGATCTTTGCGAGTATCATCTTTTTCATAAGTAATTGTCATCATGAGCGTCCGGATGCTGATGTCGACGAAGTCATCGCGCAGATTTTGAGTAAAATAATAAATGTCAGACAGCACTGGTTGACGGCGTCCCACAAGATAAACTGGCTGTCGTCCACCGTACACGGACATCGCCGTCAACGTTTATGTGGATATGATGTTCCAACGTGCTATGTGGATATGGTATTCATGTTCAGGGAGTCGGACTGGTCTAGAAGATAAGTTTTGGTCATGTTCAGCGGAGTCGCGCACTTGGCTCTAGGAAGATAAGTTTCAGCCAAATATGATGGGATGCCTTATGAGCATTTTGGCGCTAGGCGCCCTGTGGCACAATTGTGATAGGAGCTTCACCTGGGAAAATAGCTACCAGCGAAACAAGTTTGTCAGGCGAATTCGGTGATTCATGCATTGTGTATTTGTGACGCCAGCGCCTGTGGCCGCGGGCGGCCCGGCGCAGCGCCAGTTGGCGCCGAGCGAACCTGTGGTATTCATTTCAGAGGAGGACAAGCTATCCTAAGGATACGTTTCCAGCAAACTTGGCTGTCCGTACATCTTTATTATTGGAACAATATACCGCCAGCTAACATTGTCTGCCATCGTCGTTAACGCGTTAATCTCGGACAGTGTTCAAAGGTACCTCGGGATTTCTGAGGAATGTGGTACTCGTTGCCATCACCTAAGATGCTGCAACCATAAGAAGGTAAGGAATTGATAAGATGAGCTGCACATGAATCCTCTACTTGAAATTATGTACGTTTTTTTGAAATCGTTGAAGGCTCATTCAGTGATAACAAAATGGGCAAAGATCCAGAACAACAGATCTTCTCTCGTTGAAGTATTCTTCGTGTACACCCTTATTAGAGAAGGGACGTACCCACGGGGTGGATACTATGGTTACCGGCGTCTTCCACCGGATTAACGTGGAAGAGGCTTCCAACACAGAAGTAGCTTAGCTCACCTAGCCGGTGGTGAGACTTCACTCTTCGGAGAGCTGTGGACGCCGCCATACTAAAAAAACAAGCGTAAACTGTGACAGAGAAGCTTTTGTATGCTTTCTAAATTTACCCATTACGGTAGAGATGACGTTTCTTGTGACACCAGAATGACTACGGTCTAGACTTGTAGAAAATAGTGGGCGCAGTTCGGCGACGGGAGGGGGGGGGGACATTTTGCACTTTTGCTACTTCCCATCGACGTGTCGACCCACCTAGAGCCTTTTCGTGAGTGACGGGTTTCACTATTATGCTTGCTACACCTTTACAGGAGTTCACATGTTTCATCAGGGAAAGTATGCAAACAAGCAAACAGTAAACCGGAACTAGCGGAGCAATGAAAGTGCAAAATGCCCCTCACCCGTCGCCGAACTGCACAAAATAGTGAAATACGATATTATAGCAAGGAGACTGAATTGTAGTCGAAATATTCTGAGCTATAGTTCACCACAGCCGGGGAGAAGGGGGAGGAGACGTGCCTCGAAAACGTCGAAGTTAGGAAGCTAGGAAGGAGCTAAGGAAGGTATCACTTGCGCGGTGTATCAGGACCCAATTGATTTACGTAAACGGTAAAGCTACAGCGTGCCAAACCGACTAACTAGGAAGTAATCTGCTAGTGAGCGAAGCCACGTGTCGGATGTTTTGAACCAGCTACACCTAGAGTTCGGAGGCTCCCAACTACCACTGAAGTAACAGTGCGCGAGCCCGCGTGTAGAAGTCATGAATAAGTAGATTTATTATGTATGGCATATCTAGTGTTGGCAAAACGGCTACAGTACTGACGGCTCTATCACAAGCGAATAACACGGCCTCGCGGTTCTATCCGCTTCGGATATCGATGCACCTCCTGTCGTCTACATCCGTAAACCGTACCGCCCACCCGGTTTACACACTGATTCTTTACAACCACCAAAATTCAACATCAGTCTCTCAAAAAGCCCACGTGTCTTTTTCCAATATCGGTGTAGTTTACCGGTTTTCCTCGTATAAACGATGAGCCGCTTAGCTGCTGTCGGCGGTGAGCCATTAAGCTGAAATATGCAATATTACATTTGCCAGAGCTTTCAGCTTATTGGTTCGGTGCCGATATAAGCTGATCGTCTTATCACCTCAGATGTGTAACTGCTAAAAGTATACTAATGAAAAACTGAGGGAGGGTGCATGGGCTATTGGTAGCGAAACGGGTAAGCACGGATCTTGTAATAAGTATTAAAATGAGCAACTTCCCGTTAGCGGCACTCCTTCTCTGAAGCTTTGGGGTTTATATCATAACCAGTCGGATCGCCCGGCTCGAGCTCTCCTCCTTCTCTTTAGCTGGCTTGGCTTCGTCAGGTGCACTTCATTATGGATACGGAATTTGCTCACTCACTTAGGCTGCGTTTATACTTTGCGGCAGCGTAGCGTAGCGCAGCGCTTCCAGCGTACGCCAGCGGCAGTGCCGGGGAGAGGATGCATATCGATCTAGCGTTCCCAGCGTCACCAGCGTAACGCTAGCGTTTCGCCAGCGTTTTGCTAGCGTTTGCAGCGGAAAACTAGTGCTAATGCAATAGTGTCCAATATAATTCGAAGCGACTGGAAATTTCGCCTAGGCAAATAGTCGACAGGATTTAACTGCTCAGTTTTTTATTGACAATAGTGAATGCCGTCAAAATCACAATTAGCACTCCGTCTACAAAGTGACCAGCTAGTGAACAATATTTGCTAAGATACAACCTGTACGTACAAAGATGGAAGCCACACAATAACATGAAGGAATGCACAAGCAAAAAAAGGCATTTGGTCAAATCATTCAAAAGGTGTGTTATCAACAACGCCAACTGATAGCTGATATTAAAACGATGAGATTGTTTATATATCACAAGTGATCCACTCAGAAAAATATGCACGAGAGAGGGAAAGGAACGGGTTGGGGAGGGTGATGAGCTAAAGTGAATCACAAAGCCGAGCAAAATTTACAATCGTCCACTAAATCAGTTAGTGTTCTAGGTATCCCACAAAATGAATTATAACGCAAATATGTGTAGACCAAAAAACCGAACTAATTTTGGGAGGCCACTAAATCGATAGCTTTACAAAACATGCAGTAACGCTAAAAGGCACACTAGAGAAGTGGGAAAGGAGACTAGCCGTAAATAAAGGTAAAGAAAAGCGCGCTGACAAACGAGTAACGAAGCTAAAACTAGTAAACTAGCTAATGTACAAAAAAAGAAATCATAGTGGTTCCCCAAGCTTGCAAAATTACGCAATTCACCCAGAGTTGTAGATAAATTCAGCGATATCAGGCACTATCAATTCAGCCCTTGCGAGAACAGGCGTGAAACCAGCTATCTGACTGCATGTCCAGAGCTCGTCGACACTCATTCAATGAAAACCGAGAGCTCTTCGTGGCTGAACCTTTTTCGGATGGTAAAGGTTCACTGAAACATGGTCTTTCCATTGCTGTTGAATAGTGGGAGTAAAATATCCGCCTACCTGGCATGTTGCACGTATAAGATCAGCGCTCGCGCCGCGTTTTCCACATACAACATTAGCTGGTTCACGAGACCCATTCGAGCGGACTCCTAAAGTGTGGAGTGTGTACGAAACATGGAATGTTTATAGAGTAATCGAGGATCAGATATTTTGATCAATAGCCATGAAAGCAACCGAATCGTCGCATCGAGTACTATTATCGAATGGATTTCCTATAAAATGCGACTCCGCGCACACCTCTTGATACCCTAATTCAGCCTCGGAGACTTGGACTCTGCGAAAAAATGAGTAACAGCAAGGCAGCAGCATTGCCGAGGTTTTGAAGATCAGGTGCGCCGGTCTCGTCATGCGTTTTGGAAACGATCGCTGGACCAGCGATTACCGATTGGATCCCACGGGATGTCAAACAGGCATCTGGGTGGCCGCCCGCGATGTTCACACTTGTTCGTGGAAGCTCTGCACAAATGGTTTGACGTTCATAGTGTCCCTCGAGCAAAACCAAAACCCATGGACAACTCTAGCGCGTTGCAGGGACGAATGGAGGCCTTACTAACGCCCGCTCAAGCCACTCGATGAACGGGAGCACAGGTGATCAGGTGTGATCCCTATTTTTACTAGCGCCCGCTAAAGCAACTCATTGATCAACAGTAGCATCCGGCCTTCCTACATTCCTCGCGTCCTTCTACGTATTAACTTGAGTGTTTTTTATCCATGCAAGAAAACTAAAAGAAAAATAAAAGCAAATTCTTGCGCAACGATTATTCCCTTCATGCTAAGGTTTCTGGTTACACGAATGTGCAACAAATCACTAATACTTATCAGGGAATCCGATTGAACGACATCGTCCAGGATGATCGAGTAGGCGGAGTCAGAAGCCGGCGTCACAGGCGCGATATTCTTACCGCTCTTCTCAGCGGCAGTAGAGAGGAGGGGCGTGCCAGTGACGTCCCTCCTCTCCACTTAGCTTCCTTAGCTTCGCATAACGCTATCCCCAACGGTTTCTTTACAGAAAAAAATGGGAATGATTATTTAATAAAGAAAAAACGAGAAGGAAAAAACACCTTATCAAAGGAAAAGCTCACTAATCATCTGTCAAAAGAAAATTATTACGCACCTCTAGAGGGAGTAAGTCGACCCGTCGAAGAAACGTTCTCACACATTCAAGAACACGACAGGAAGTCATTTCTCTGAAGCAGCACATATATTGATTACAAACGGAAAATACAAGGACGTAGAAAGTAGATGCAATGAATATTCCGCTGGTTCTGCAGACAGCTTGCACTTGCTGTTTCATGTGCCTCCCAAACTTTGCCCTGTCATAGTCAGAACTTACGCAAATTGCGCGGAACGCTTTAATCATGAGCACCCCTTCATCATGGACTTTTCTCGGTAACCCAGCTTCCTGTTGTTGTTGTTCCTGTCCATTTAGAAAGCGCTCTTTTTGCAGCGAGTGGATCCTTCCATCAGCTCCAAACTCTCGGGAACGGTTTACCGTCACTCTTTTTTAGGCCTTCGAGCTGCTCTCGATTTCAAATGACTCGGACTTTCGCAATTGTAATTGTGCATGGTACCTCTGAATGCATAAAAAAAACCTGAGAACTCACAGTGTGACAGGCTTGCATCGG